TAGGCCTATCCATTCTAGTGCCAAAACAGCCCACGACTTTGTGGTAGCATAATGAAGATCCTGGTTGACTGGTTTTCATGTAAACACCTCAGTAGGCCTAAGACAATTTATGCACAGATCCATAACTGCTGGAAGTATACAGAACAAAAATATAAACGCAACATGCAACAATTTACTGAGTTACAGTTCATATAAGGAAATCAGTCAATTGAAATAATTTCATTAGGCCTTAATCTATGGATTTCACATGACTTGGAATCAGTGGCGGCTCCTGAAAAAATTCTCAGGAGGGGCGATTTTTCTGATGATTTAGGTGACCTACACACATTTTAAAAAAGATATGTCCAGCAACAACATGAAGACAGGGGCAGCATATAAGTCAATACCAGAAGCATTTATTGACTGATCTGGGGAGATGGATTCCAGTTTCTGTGACAGATTATAAATAATCTCTGATGCCTTTGTTATATTAGCTTTTGGTTGAATGTACTGTCGTAGTAAATATATAATGTTATAGCTTGGTCTGACTAAAATCTTGTGCATGACCCATTTTGTGTTGGGCCTTTGTATTCAATACAATGAACAAGAGTCCTATCTTGTCAGCCTTGTCAGCAGGTGGCTAAGGATAACACCCACGCCATAGGTCTCTCAGTTCTTCCAACTCACGAGTTCTTGCCCTGAGGACACACACCCACACACACACACACACACACACACACACACATCATCACTGATAAACACACACACACACACACACACATCATCACTGATAACAAACACACACACACACACACACACACACACACACACACTGATAACAAACACACACACACACACACACACAAATCCTCTTCTCTTAGGCTGAACATCTGAAGACAGAGAACCCGACTCAGAGCCAATGCAACAGTGACACTAGCCTGGAGGTGACCTCGCCCAACTCATCAGGACCAATCAGAAGATCAGAACTACTAGATTCAACCTACTTCATTTTATTGTATAAAATGTCAGCACACAATGTTTAGGGGCTCTTCTGATAAACTCCCTACGAGTTTGACGAACGGGTCCGTGCACGCGATTCCAGATATCTTTACCTCTGAATAAACTGCCTTATATTATACAATTATCCACCTTGTCCAAAAGTCTCTACTTGGTCTCCGTTCTCCAGTAAACTTGTTTTATCAACAATAGTAAGGTTCAATGACACAGAAAGCAGTTCAATGTCGGGGTACAGAGTCGCTCTCTTACCAGGATCGCGGTCCGCTCTGACCAGGGTGAAGCCGGCCGGCTCCACCTCTCTGTCCGGGACTCTGTCATCCAGCCAAGTCTCCCAGCTGTATTGGAAATCCGCTGCCAGCAGCGTTTTCATTATTTAGTCCGTTCGTAGCGGGTATGTACACGATCAACAAGATCAGTCCAAAACCGAAGATCAGTCCAAAGCAGAATGTTTGCAGAATGTTTGTAAACTAAGTCTACAAATTAAAAACATAAAATAACGCCACACTGCAGGTCGCAACATAGACGCTGCTAGCCGCCATTGTCTTAGTTACGTTCAACGTTACGTCACGTATGACGAAAGCGCGTAAGTGCATGCCCACAGACACCCATAGAGAATGTATTGAAAGCTTTGAAATGTGAAAAAAATAGATTTTACATGACAGGCTATGAGAGACTTCTGGGCGATTTTCAACCTGACTGAAATCGCCCAAAAAACGGGCGGGGCCATTTGAAGCACGACTTTAGCCTGATTTGACATTTAGTGGCTGGCAGATCAAACGTGAACACTGATAACTGCTGTTGCCGTGATATAATTGATTAGAAAAAAAATCCCTTCCTTTTCCCGTTTGGCAGTGCGTCGCCCATATCGCCCTATTGAACAAGCCGTCCCTGCTTGGAATAAAGATATGCATCTGTTGGTCACAGATACCTTAAAAAAAAGGTAGGGGCGTGGATCAGAAAACCAGTCAGTATCTGGTGTGACCACCATTTGCCTCATGAAGCGCGACACATCTCCTTCGCATAGATTTAATCAGGCTGTTGATTGTGTCCTGTGGAATGTTGTCCCACTCCTCTTCAATGACTGTGTGAAGTTGCTGGATATTGGAGGGAACTGGAACACGCTGTCGTACACGTTGATCAAGAGCATCCCAAACATGCTCAATGAGTGACATGTCTGGTGAGTATGCAGGCCAGTGGCGGACTGTGCCGTTTAAGATGAGGGAGGACGATTGTTTTTTCATGAGCATGGCCTTATTTCTATTACAGCATATTGGATGACTCTTATTCATATTCCATTCACCCAGTTCAATGTAACAGCGATAGGTTTAGGCTACTACATTATACTAGAACTTTCCCTATACCCATCATGTTGCTACAACCTAGCCTGAATGAAGGTTTACAACGTAGGTGCACACAGGTTGAGAGACAAATTTGAGGTGACAGACAGTGACATTCAATAACGCCACTCTTGCCTGCATCTTGCTGATATAGGGTGTAATCATTAGTCCAACAGTTGCAAACAAGTTTCTATTGGACAAACATAAAAATAACACTGTAGTAGGCTTAGGCCTACCACAAGATTGTTATGGCAGCCTAGGCCTAGTGAGTCAGGCTTTTTATCACCGTTTTGTTCCATTTGATTCCGTTTAAGAAACATTTTTCAACAGAATCTGCGGAATGAATGCACCCCTGATCACACGTAAACAGAGTTCACTCTAGTAACAGCCACGTTGTATTCCTTCTCTTCCCTTCACTTCTGGACTTCAATGCACAACCCATCAGCTGTATGTGACCAGGCGAAAAAACCTTTCCAAGCCAAACCGCTACACACAGCTTACATTGTTGTCACCATATTAGCTTAATGTCATAGTCAGCATAGCTAATAGAACTAACACGTTAGTAAATCCGCTACAATCATGCAGTAGCATTATTGTACAGTAAGTAAGCAGTTACATCAGCGGGCCCCGGTGGCAATAAATTAGTAAAACCAAAAGCTTACCTTGAATTGGAAGAGTTCCAGTGTTGTGTTGGAAAGTCATAGCCAGCTAGCTAAAATAGCATCCCTCTGTTTGAGCAGGGTGTTTCAGTAGGCTAAACTAGATAGCTGCATTTGCTCCATCATTTTGGAAGAAATTAATTTGTTAAAAACTGTTCAAATATTGTCTTTCTCTCTCTTTGAGTCAAATACTCACTACATTTTATACACTGCAGTGCTAGCTAGTCGTAGCTTACGCTTTCAGTACTAGATTAATTATCTGATCCTTTGATTGGGTGGACAACATGTCAGTTCATGCTGCAAGAGCTCTGATAGGCTGGAGGGCGTTCTCTGGAAGTTGTCATAATTACTGTGTAAGTCTATGGAAGGGGGTGAGAACCATGAGCCTCCTAGGTTTTCTATTGAAGTCAATGTACCCAGAGGAGGACGGAAGCTAGCTGTCCTGCTACACCATGGTGTACCCTACAGAGTGTTGTTGAGGCTACTGTAGACCTTCTTTGCAAAATAGTGTGTTATAATCAGTTATTTGGTGACGTGATTATATTTTGTATAGTTTTATCTAAAAAGTATAACTTTGTTAATGTTTTACAATTGTTATTTTTATTAAATTCACTGAGGAGGATGGTCCTCCCCTTCCTCCTCTGAGGAGCCTCCACTGATGAAGAACTGGGACATTTTCAGCTTCCAGGAATTGTGTACAGATCCTTGCGACATGGGGCAATGCATTATCATAATGAAATGGCGGCGGATGAATGGCACGACAATGGGCCTCGGGATCTCGTCACGGTATCTCTGCATTCAAATTGCCATCGATAAAATGCAATTGTGTTCGTTGTCCGTAGCTTATGCCTGCCCATAACATAACCCCACCGCCACCATGGGGCACTCTGTTCACAACCTTGACATCAGCAAACTGCTCGCCCACACAACGCCATACACGTGGTCTGAGGTTGTGAGGCTGGTGGACGTACTGCCAAATTCTCTAAAACAACATTGGAGGTGGCTTATGGTAGAGAAATTAACATTCAATTATCTGGCAACAGTTCTGGTGGACATTCCTGCAGTCAGCATGCCAATTGCACACTCCCTCAAAACTTGAGACATCTGTGACATTGTGCTGTGTAACAAAACTGCGCATTTTAGAGTGGCCTTTTATTGTCCCCAGCACAAGGTGCACCTGTGTAATGATCATGCTGTTTAATCAGCTTCTTGATATGTCATACCTGTCAGGTAGGTGGATGGATTAACTTGGTAAAGGAGAAATGCTCACTAACAGGGATGTAAACAAAGGCTATGGACAGATCCAGTTTTATCGAGTCCGATGTCTGCCCACCCCTCTGTCAATAGTCATAAAACCGGCTTTCACGAATGTGGTCGTGCCTGTTCATTGTGCGCGCATCGATTTTTGGTTCGCCAGCATTTCCTTCTCAACCTCTGATGACTTGTCAAAGTGAATGTAGTCCTAATGGAAATTGGAAAGGACAATGACAAACGACTTTTATTATAAATGACCTCGAGAAAAAGAAATGCTCATTGGGATCGTCCATGCATGGTTCATAAAAGTTTCTTACAATATTGAGAAATGTATTATTTGGGTGGCTATTCAAAGCTTTACAGAAACGGCAGAAAATAGGTAGGCCTATATGAAGGGTTAAAAAGTCCAACAATAAAAAAGAAAAACTCCAGCCTAAACTTGCAGACTGTTGCAATTTTTGCTAAAAGTTTCCAGATGTTGAGTGACGCACTCGCAGGCTCTATTCTTGAATAGCCTACATTTTAATTGAACAACTCTGTTGGCTACTCTCTGCAAAACGTGGAATACTTCCAAACAATAGAGAACTTTGCAATAATAGTTAAAAGAAGGGTGGTAGGCCTATATGACTGCATGTAGACTGTCTGCCTCGTGAAGTTTACAGTTCCAATGCACTGTAATTTTTCCCATAGCCTTCTCTGACTGACACGGAAGCTGGAATCCAGTTTTTTTTTTTGGGGGGGGGGGGGGGGGGGGGGGGGGGAGTGGGAGGATTTAGGAATCTTGCCAATATGTTACAGAAGCAATGGAACGCTGAGCGAGAAAAGTAACAATTAGCATACCGAACGTCGCAGAGAGAAAACTTTACTTTGAAAAAGGACAGCACAAAACGATCCAAATGGCAGAACAGGTAGGCCTACTATACAATTTTATTATCAGCACTTGTCAAAACGTTACATTTGAAGAGATGGTGGCTTTAATCGTCCTAGAAGCAACGAATGGAGTTCTTGCATTCTTTTGGCGATAACTTCCCCCCCACTTGTACGCATCGTTCTGATTACCGTTGAAAGTGGCACAGATGTAGTTTAACCAAAATTCCATTGACATATTGAGCTAACCAATTTATATCATGACACAGTCCATGAGATCGTATTAAGTCATATAGGCGCGTTGGCATATAGCCTACTTTCCATGCAATCTTGCCAGCTTAACGCGAGTTTACAACTAATCATTTCAATGCACTGATCAGTGTGCATGCTGGAACAGCATCAAAGAATATGGACAATAACAAATTAATCTAGGCCATATGTTGACGAGCTAGCAAGGACAATTCTCAATTGTGTCTATAGACAGACCGTCTATGGAAATGGAAAGCACGGGGAGGCAATCAGTGCATTCAGATTCTGTCCCCATGGCCTATGACACAGAAACTTTCTTTGGATATAGGCTATTGTGTGAGGGATGACAGCTAGACGAACAGAAAGACAGACAGACATTCATACAATGAGATACTTACTGTCGGCGAGCAAGCGCCGTACCATTGTTGCGTACTGTATCAATGTTATGACATTTGTTGGCTGCGGTGAGCTATCTGTGGACACATAAAATGAACACTGTAGTAGGTTTAGGCCTACCACGAGATTGTTATGGTAGCCTAGGTCTAGTGAGTCAGGCTTTTTATTCTATATTATTTCCTACCCTGACAACTGAAACAACACGTTTGTTTCTGGAAGTCTCAATGAATTTGGTTTAGTGTTTAGGAGAATACCGGTTGAAGTCACCACTGATTTCTCTCCCTGTTGCCCAAGCCTTCCATGCACGCCCCAGGCACAGAATGGGACCATAAATCGGCCCTGGCATTTCTAAGACACCGGCCCAGTTTTTCCTCGAGGCCCCCACACTGGCTAATTTTTCCCCTTTAGGCCCCCATTATTAGCCAGTTCATTTTGCATGAAAAATCTAAGTTAGACAGGCCCAATGGGCTAAACATTTACCAGCCCATCTGGCATTTGCCTGATATGCCAGATGGCCAGTCTTCCCCTGGCACACCCTGAAGATAAACAGTGAGGGGGTGAGCTGTCATAGCTACCCCAACCTGCAGGTATTTCAAGCACCTTCTCCATGTAGACAAGTTGTCTGAATTTGCCTTCCAATAGTCTCACGTTACTTAAGCTTACTCCTCCCTGCCCCATCCACAGATGCTCACATTTCAATAGCATATTAAAATATCAATTTTAATAGGGGTGAGTGACATAGCAAAGTTCCTTAACTGTTAATAAATGTTGGTGATTTAGGATATAAATAAAAAAGTAGTATGAAAAACCTATCAGCTACAATAGATTGGGTGTTTGGTTATTGGTTTAAAGAGAGTATGGAATGGTGTCCTTCACAATGACCAACATAACAAGTCTGTGTGACACAGTTTCATATGCCACTGCAAAACATAAGGTCTACTTTTCAAACAGGTGATTTGTAACCTAGAAGTATAACTGATCTTGTTGGAGTATAACTTTTCACGCAGCATATTGTTTCTCATAATTTTTGGTTAACCACTAAGCTTCAGTGACACTGATACTGTGAAAGGTACAATACAAACAGAAGTTAATTAACTGAATGGAGCAGTGCGTGATATGTGCGGAGAAGAATGCTGCAGTGTTGTTAGAACAGTCACTCAAGGACAGGGTTAAACATCGGAGTGCCATCTTTGCGTAGACTTCCAACGCACGGAGGCATGCAAGATATGCACTTGAGGACGGATGTGAGTGTGTCTGATTGTTTTGGTATTTGGGACTAAATTGAGTGGAGGTCAGTACACTTTGGCACACACCTGGGGAGTCTGTCTCATGAATATGTTAACTTTATTTTTCTTTCTTTCTTTCTTTCTTTCTTTCTTTCTTTCTTTCTTTCTTTCTTTCTTTCTTTCTTTCTTTCTTTCTTTCTTTCTTTCTTTCTTTCTTTCTTTCTTTCTTTCTTTCTTTCTTTCTTTATGATCTATTATAATAATACACTTCACATAATAAACTTCAAAGGACTGTCAGAGGACTCTTTTCTTATTGTTATATTATTTGATTCCCTCACCCTAACACATTTATTTATCCTCCTCTGGCGCAGCACTCAGACCTGGAAAAGGCCATCAACACTTTGGTCACAAAGTTCCATGCTGCTGCGGCCAATAAAGGTCCAACGCTCCAAACCGAAGAGTTGAAAGGCCTCCTCACCTCCCAGCTGCCCAACTTAGTCAAGGTATGTAAGCTGCAACGGTCGGCTACATTGCCACCGCCCTCCCCGGCCACACCTGCCATTGATTCTACCAGTAGGGCGTGGCTCTGACTCTTACTACCTCCCCCACTCAACCACACACATACAGTACACACCACCTCCTATAACTCCCAAACAAACACTCAGAAAAAGCCTGTAGGTGTCGGTTGCCAGGTTCAAACAAATCCAAGATTTCTGTAATCTAATGTGCTCAATCACCAATTGAGTTTTAAACATGCTTTATTTGAATTACTGAAAAGGCCGATGTATCTTGCCTTGTCTTCATGTTGGAACTGGCTGCTTAGTTGTCTAAGGCCCAAGGCAGTTTTCCAGGACGAGTCTGAATCTACCAGAGGGTGACAAAGATAGCTATGCTTTTGAAAAACAGGAAAGGCCGGTTGAAATACATGAGCAAGTGAGGAAGGCTCAAGGTTGTTTTCTCATCTAGAGGGGGTGAAACAAACTGACAGATAAATAAATAACTGTTTTCCTTATGAACAGAGCAGCAAAAATTGTTTTATTGTATTATGACTCCTTGCACCAAGTCGACTTCATCCACCATAAATTCGACAACCAAGTAGAGTATTTTTGCTACACAATAGTTAGCCACAACAGCTAGGACATATTTGTTGTGAAAGGCAATTGAGGTTAAGGGGAGGGGGCAGAATACACAACTGTTAAAGTGAATATTATGCATAGTTACCAAGTCCATATGTTTTTCATTACGTCCAGTCTTAGACGTATATAAAACCAGAGTCTATTTCAAAGGAACAGGAATGATCACATCATTTAAATGGGATTCCAGCAAACAGCTCTTTATATTGTCTCAGCTGTGGACCAGCGTTCAGGACAGGAAATATTTTCCCAAATTATTTTCCTATTGTTTTCAGCAGACAGAAATATCCACTGTGTTTGCATCTGCCTGGCTGGCAGCTTTATCACATTTCAGAATTAAAATATATCCCACAGTTTGTTGTGTTACAGCCTGAATTCAAAATTGATTAATTCATTTTTGATTGTTGATTGTTGATCATTGTTAGACAACCATTTTCAAGTCTTGCCATAGATGTTTAAGCCGATTTAAGTCAAAACTTTAACTAGGCCACTCAGGAACATTCAATGTTATCTTTTGAAGTATTACTTAAGTGCCTAGTTGCAAACAGGATGCATGTTTTGGAATATTTTTATTCTGTACAGGCTTCCTTCTTTTCACTCTATCATTTAGGTTAGTATTGTGGAGTAACTACAAAGTTTTGGGTCATATGTTTTATTAAGGGGGGGGGGGCTAGATCAGCTTTAATATTGCAGATAGATTGTAGCTTCCATCAATGTAATTGTCTGCATCATTTCCAATCCCCCAGGGTTTTTCTTTATTTTTACTATTTTCTACATTGTAGAATAATAGTGAAGACATCAAAACTATGAAATAATACATATGGAATCATGTAGTAACCAAGAAAGTGTTAAACAAATCAAAATATATTTTATATTTGAGATTCTTCAAAGTAGCCACCCTTTGCCTTGATGACAGCTTTGCACAATTTTGGCATTCTCTCAACCAGCTTCATGAGGTAGTCACCTGAAATGCATTTAAATTAACAGGTGTGCCTTGTTAAAAGTTAATCTGTGGAATTTCTTTCCTTCTTAATGTGTTTGAGCCAATCAGTTGTGTTGTGACAAGGTAGAATTCAGAATATAGCCCTATTTGGTAAAAGACCAAGTCCATATTATGGCAAGAACAGTTCAAATAAGCAACGAGAAACGACAGTCCATCATTACTTTAAGACATGAAGGTCAGTTAATTCAGAAAATGTCAAGAACTTTGAAAGTTTCTTCAAGTGCAGTTGCAAAAACCATCAAGAGCTATGATGAAACTGGTTCTCATGAGGACCGCCACAGGAAAGGAAGACCCAGAGTTACCTCTGCTGCAGAGGATAAGTTCATTAGAGTTAACTGCACCTCAGATTGCAGCCTAAATAAATGCTTCACAGAGTTCAAGTAACAGACACATCTCAACATCAACTGTTCAGAAGGGACTGTGTGAATCAGGCCTTCATGGTCGAATTGCTGCAAAAAAGAAGAGACCTGCTTGGGCCAAGAAACACGAGCAATGGACATTAGACCGTTGGAAATGTGTCCTTTGGTCTGGAGTCCAAATTGTCGATTTTTGGTTCCAACCGCCGTGTCTTTGTGAAACGCGTGTGGGTGAACGGATGATCTCCGCATGTGTATTTCCCACCGTAAAGCATGGAGGAGGAGGTGTGATGGTGTGGGGGTGCTTTGCTGGTGACACTGTCTGTGATTTATTTAGAATTCAAGGTACACTTAACCAGCATGGCTACCACAGCATTCTGCAGAGATACGCCATCCCATCTGGTTTGGGCTTAGTGGGACTATCATTTGTTTTTCAACAGGACAATGACCCAACACACCTCCAGGCTGTGTAAGGGCTATTTTACCAAGAAGGAGAGTGATGGAGTGCTGCATCAGATTACCTGGCCTCCACAATCCCCCGACCTCAACCCAATGGTTTGGGTTGAGTTGGACGGCAGAGTGAAGGAAAAGCAGCCGACAAGTGCTAAGCATATGTGGGAACTCCTTCAACTGTAGGAAAGCATTCCAGGTGAAGCTGGTGAGAGAATGCCAAGAGTGTGCAAAGCTGTCATCAAGGCAAAGGGTGGCTATTGAAGAATCTCAAATATAAAATGTATTTTGATTTGTTTAACACTTTTTTGGTTACTACATGATTCCATATGTGTTATTTCATAGTTTTGATGTCTTCACTATTATTCTACAATGTAAAAATAAAGAAAAACCCTTGAATGAGTAGGTGTGTCCAAACTTTTGACTGGTAGTGTACATACATACATATACATACACATCTTTTAAAAATATATTTTCCTTTATTATTTTCCACTAACCCTACCACCCCTCCCCTAATTGGAGTAAACTAATGAACAACAACACTTAGGCTTGTACTTCCACCTTATACATACAATATACATTTTATGGACAAAGTCTATTTTACAGTAGTTATCTTTTGTTTCTTTTTACTCCTATCCTTCCGCTACCGTCAACCCCTCCCATCTATTTCTGAAGACCATCCAGTTTGATTTCTATTTGCCATATATTTTTAACTGTGCTGTTTCACAAAAGTTCTGAACCTACAGTGGGGAGAACAAGTATTTGATACACTGCCGATTTTGCAGGTTTTCCTACTTACAAAGCATGTAGAGGTCTGTAATTTTTATCATAGGTACACTTCAACTGTGAGAGACGGAATCTAAAACAAAAATCCAGAAAATCACATTGTATGATTTTTAAGTAATTAATTTGCATTTTATTGCATGACATAAGTATTTGATACATCAGAAAAGCAGAACTTAATATTTGGTACAGAAACCTTTGTTTACAATTACAGAGATCATACGTTTCCTGTAGGTCTTGACCAGGTTTGCACACACTGCAGCAGGGATTTTGGCCCACTCCTCCATACAGACCTTCTCCAGATCCTTCAGGTTTCGGGGCTGTCGCTGGGCAATTCGGACTTTCAGCTCCCTCCAAAGATGTTCTATTGGGTTCAGGTCTGGAGACTGGCTAGGCCACTCCAGGACCTTGAGATGCTTCTTACGGAGCCACTCCTTAGTTGCCCTGGCTGTGTGTTTCGTGTCGTTGTCATACTGGAAGACCCAGCCACGACCCATCTTCAATGCTCTTACTGAGGGAAGGAGGTTGTTGGCCAAGATCTCGCGATACATGGCCCCATCCATCCTCCCCTCAATACGGTGCAGTCGTCCTGTCCCCATTGCAGAAAAGCATCCCCAAAGAATGATGTTTCCACCTCCATGCTTCACGGTTGGGATGGTGTTCTTGGGGTTGTACTCATCCTTCTTCTTCCTCCAAACACGGCGAGTGGAGTTTAGACCAAAAAGCTATATTTTTGTCTCATCAGACCACATGACCTTCTCCCATTCCTCCTCTGGATCATCCAGATGGTCATTGGCAAACTTCAGACAGGCCTGGACATGCGCTGGATTGAGCAGGGGGACCTTGCATGCGCTGCAGGATTTTAATCCATGACGGCGTAGTGTGTTACTAATGGTTTTCTTTGAGACTGTGGTCCCAGCTCTCTTCAGGTCATTGACCAGGTCCTGCCGTGTAGTTCTGGGCTGATCCCTCACCTTCCTCATGATCATTGATGCGCCACGAGGTGAGATCTTGCATGGAGCCCCAGACCGAGGGTGATTGACCGTCATCTTGAACTTCTTCCATTTTCTAATAATTGCGCCAACAGTTGTTGCCTTCTCACCAAGCTGCTTGCCTATTGTCCTGTAGCCCATCCCAGCCTTGTACAGGTCTACAATTTTATCCCTGATGTCCTTACACTGCTCTCTGGTCTTGGCCATTGTGGAGAGGTTGGAGTCTGTTTGGTTGAGTGTGTGGACAGGTGTCTTTTATACAGGTAACGAGTTCAAACAGGTGCAGTTAATACAGGTAATGAGTGGAGAACAGGAGGGCTTCTTAAAGATAAACTAACAGGTCTGTGAGAGCTGGAATTCTTACTGGTTGGTAGGTGATCAAATACTTATGTCATGCAATAAAATGCAAATTAATTACTTAAAAATCATACAATGTGATTTTCTGGATTTTTGTTGTAGATTCTGTCTCTCACAGTTGAAGTGTACCTATGATAAAAATTACAGACCTCTACATGCTTTGTAAGTAGGAAAACCTGCAATATCGGCAGTGTATCAAATACTTGTTCTCCCCACTGTATATACAGTTGAAGTCGGAAGTTTACATACACCTAGGTTGGAGTCATTAAAACTTGTTTTTCAACCACTCCACACATTTCTTGTTAACAAACTATAGTTTTGGCAAGTCGGTTAGGACATCTACTTTGTGCATGACACAAGTCATTTTTCCAACAATTGTTAACAGACAGATTATTTCACTTATAATTCACTGTATCACAATTCCAGTGGGTCAGAAGTTTACATACACTAAGTTGACTGTGCCTTTAAACAGCTTGGAAAATTCCAGAAAATGATGTCATGGCTTTAGAAGCTTCTGATAGGCTAATTGACATAATTTGAGTCAATTGGAGGTGTACCTGTGGATGTATTTCAAGGCCTACCTTCAAACTCAGTGCCTCTTTGCTTGACATCATGGGAAAATCAAACCTCCACAAGTCTGGTTCATCCTTGGGAGCAATTTCCAAACACCTGAAGGTACCACGTTCATCTGTACAAACAATAGTACGCAAGTATAAACACCATGGGACCACTCACCATGGGACCACTCAGCTGGTAGAGCACGGCGCTTGTAACGCCAAGGTAGTGGGTTCGATCCCCGGGACCACCCATACACAAAAATGTATGCACGAATGACTGTAAGTCGCTTTGGATAAAAGCGTCTGCTAAATGGCTTATTATTATACCGCTCAGGAAGGAGACGCGTTCTGTCTCCTAGAGATGAACGTACTTTGGTGCGAAAAGTGCAAATCAATCCCAGAACAACAGCAAAGGACCTTGTGAAGATGCTGGAGGAAACAGGTACAAATGTATCTATATCCACAGTAAAACAAGTCCTATATCGACATAACCTGAAAGGCCGCTCAGCAAGGAAGAAGCCACTGCTCCAAAACTGCCATAAAAAAGCCAGACTACGGTTTGCAACTGCACAAGGGGACAAAGATCGTACTTTTTGGAGAAATGTGCTCTGGTCTGATGAAACAAAAATAAAACTGTTTGGCCATAATGACCATTGTTATGTTTGGAGGAAAAAGGGAGACCTTGCTAGCCGAAGAACACCATCCCAACCGTGAAGCACAGGGGTGGCAGCATCATGATGTGGGGGTGCTTTGCTGCAGGAAGGACTGGTGCACTTCACAAAATAGATGGCATCATGAGGAAGGAAACTTATGTGGACATATTGAAGCAACATCTCAAGACATCAGTCAGGAAGTTAAAGCTTGGTCGCAAATGGGTCTTCCAAATGGACATTGACCCCAAGCATACTTCCAAAGTTGTGGCAAAATGGCTTAAGGACAACAAAGTCAAGGTATTGGAGTGGCCATCACAAATCCCTGACCTCAATCCTATAGAAAATGTGTGGGCAGAACTGAAAAAGCGTGTGCGAGCAAGGAGGCCTACAAACCTGACTCAGTTACACCAGCTCTGTCAGGAGGAATGGGCCAAAATTCACCCAACTTATTATGGAAAGCTTGTGGAAGGCTACCCAAAACGTTTGACCCAAGTTAAACAATTTAAAGGCAATGCTACCAAATACTAATTGAGTGTATGTAAACTTCTGACCCACTGGGAATGTGATGAAATAAATAAAAGCTGAAATAAATCATTCTCTCTACTATTATTCTGACATTTCACATTCTTAAAATAAAGTGGTGATCCTAACTGACCTAAGACAGGGAATTTTTACTAGGATTAAATGTCAGGAATTGTGAAAAACTGAGTTTAAATGTATTTGGCTAAGGTGTATGTAAACTTCCGACTTCAACTGTACATTTTACGGACACAGTATATTTTACATTAGTTATCTTGTTGTTATTAGTCCCACCCTTCAGCTTTACCTAACCCCTTCCATCTATCTCTTAACACCATCCGTATTGGATTTCTATTTGCCATATATTTTTCAACTGTGCTGTGATGTTTCACAAAAGTTCTGAACCTTTCTATTCTCATAGTTTCTACAGATTGTATAATAAAGATAAACATTTAGCTAAAAGTATTATAATATTATTGATCGATTTAACTATGACTTTTCAAATCACCCAGTAATGCTATCTGCAGAGTTAGCTCCAGGTAAATGTTGCAATTCTTCAGCAATTCCTGGACCTGCCACCAAAAACAAGCTAAATATGGACAGTACCAAAACAAATTATCTAATGATTCTGTCTCTTCGCAGCAAAATCTGCAGAGCTGGGAATGTTTTACCCCCCGTATATATAATATTCTATTGGTTGCACGAATTTTGTATAATAATGTAAATAGAACAATTATACGTTTTTAATCCTCTGTAGCTCAGCTGGTAGAGCACGGCGCTTGTAACGCCAAGGTAGTGGGTTCGATCCCCGGGACCACCCATACACAAACATGTATGCACGCATGACTGTAAGTCGCTTTGGATAAAAGCGTCTGCTAAATGGCATATTATTTATTATTATAATCCGGCGTCATTTTGCGTTATCAGTTCATAAACCATGTGCCATGGAATCAGTACATCGAAAATCTTTTCACAACTATTTTACAATCTAAATTACAGTGGGGGAAATAAGTATTTAGTCAGCCACCAATTGTGCAAGTTCTCCCACTTAAAAAGATGAGAGAGGCCTGTAATTTCCATCATAGGTACACGTCAACTATGACAGACAAATTGAGGATTTTTTTTTTTTTATGAATTTATTTGCAAATTATGGTGGAAAATAAGTATTTGGTCACCTACAAACAAGCAAGATTTCTGGCTCTCACAGACCTGTAACTTCTTCTTTATGAGGCTCCTCTGTCCTCCACTCGTTACCTGTATTAATGGAACCTGTTTGAACTTGTTATCACTATAAAAGACACCTGTCCACAACCTCAAACAGTCACACTCCAAACTCCACTATGGCCAAGACCAAAGAGCTGTCAAAGGACACCAGTAAAAAAATTGTAGACCTGCACCAGGCTGGGAAGACTGAATCTGCAATAGGTAAGCAGCTTGGTTTGAAGAAATCAACTGTGGGAGCAATTATTAGGAAATGGAAGACATACAAGACCACTGATAATCTCCCTCGATCTGGGGCTCCACGCAAGATCTCACCCCGTGGGGTCAAAATGATCACAAGAACGGTGAGCAAAAATCCCAGAACCACACGGGGGGACCTAGTGAATGATCTGCAGAGAGCTGGGACCAAAGTAACAAAGCCTACCATCAGTAACACACTACGCTGCCAGGGACTCAAATCCTGCAGTGCAAGACGTGTCCCCCTGCTTAAGCCAGTACATGTCCAGGCCCATCTGAAGTTTGCTAGAGTGCATTTGGATGATCCAGAAGAGGATTGGGAGAATGTCATATGGTCAGATGAAACCAAAATATAACTTTTTGGTAAAAACTCAACTCGTCGTGTTTGGAGGACAAAGAATGCTGAGTTGCATCCAAAGAACACCATACCTACTGTGAAGCATGGGGGTGGAAACATCATGCTTTGGGGCTGTTTTTCGGCAAAGGGACCAGGACGACTGATCCGTGTAAAGGAAAGAATGAATGGGGCCATGTATCGTGAGATTTTGAGTGAAAACCTCCTTCCATCAGCATGGGCATTGAAGATGAAACGTGGCTGGGTCTTTCAGCATGACAATGATCCCAAACACACCACCCGGGCAACGAAGGAGTGGCTTCGTAAGAAGCATTTCAAGGTCCTAGAGTGGCCTAGCCAGTCTCCAGATCTCAACCCCATAGAAAATCTTTGGAGGGAGTTGAAAGTCCGTGTTGCCCAGCGACAGCCCCAAAACATCACTGCTCTAGAGGAGATCTGCATGGAGGAATGGGCCAAAATACCAGCAACAGTGTGTGAAAACCTTGTGAAGACTTACAGAAAACGTTTGACCTGTGTCATTGCCAACAAAGGGTATATAACAAAGTATTGAGAAACGTTTGTTATTGACCAAATACTTATTTTCCACCATAATTAGCAAATAAATTCATTAAAAATCCTACAAATTCTGACAAACTCCAAGCATTGTTTATGCAAGAATGGGCTGCCATCAGTCAGGATGTGGCCCAGAAGTTAATTGACAGCATGCCAGGGCGGACTGCAGAGGTCTTGAAAAAGAAGGGTCAACACTGCAAATATTGACTCTTTGCATAAACTTAATGTAATTGTCAATAAAAGCCTTTGACACTTATGGAATGCTTGTAATTATACTTCAGTATACCATAGTAACATCTGACAAAAATATCTAAAAACACTAAAGCAGCAAACTTTGTGAACACCAATACTTGTGTCATTCTCAAAACCTTTGACCCCGACTGTACAATTTTTAATTCAGGCTGTAACACCACAAAGTGGTGTGATTCTGAAGGCACTGTAGATAAGATTGGCTACCCAGATACCGTTATTACCTCTAAAATACCAAACAAAGAAAGGTTGCATTCTGAAAAGATCCATACAAATGAAAATGTTCCTAGAAAAAGAGCCATGGATCTATAACCACTAGTGGGTAGCAAAGCCTGAAACATGACACAGTTAGTTGACAAAGTACTCACATGCTGTATTTATAGAGCTGCATACAGTTGAAGAGAGGCCAATAGTAGTTAGTCAGTTTAATTATTGATATAATATTTACTGCAGTGAATATCAGTACTGTTATGAATATAGCCTACTGAGTAATTTAGGCAACAATGTTATACGCTCAAAGGTGTAATAGACTAATTGCTAACTTGCTTCTAATACATGTCTATGCATGATTACTTAATTGCTTATTACCTGTCAGTAAATTAAATACCGTGTCCATATAGTGAAGAGTTGTTTTTGTGCTCCCTCCCTCCCCCAGACTGGAGGCTCAGAGCAGGGCCTGGGCGAGGTGATGAGACAGATGGGTGTGTCGGACGGCGAGGGAATCACCTTCAAGCACTTCTGGGGCTTGATCCAGTCACTGGCCACCACGCAGCATGGTCTTCTCAGCAGCGAGAAGGTGTCCAAGTGCGCCTGTGTGCTCCTGTGAGGTCCATGCCTTCTGACGGTGGTGTGAGCCAGGGGGAACCAGACAGCCTCACCCAGTGTCAGTACTCCTTCTCACCGCACTGCTCCCATCCAGACCTGGACACTCACATAGTCATCACCCCCTCCACTACAGGCCTTTTATGTACATCTCCCATGCTTGGTAGTGCCAGCAGTGCTCATCTCCTAGCTCTATGCTACTTGGTTTACAGGATTTTTTTAATCAGTGTTGGTCTTTCCATCCAAATATCCCCTCTATTCAAATATCCCCATTCTCAAAACCTGAATGTCTTTCCTATAGGCCTACTACCAATGTAACCACTACAAATAATCCTTAGATGACATGTGACCCAAAGTGAAATCAGAAAGCCATGAGTGAGCTTTAGGTGCTTTGCAAAAAATAAAATAAATAAATATGAATTTACACATGGCAGTACACATTAGTGGAAAGCACCTTTGAGCCACCAGTAGTCCATATACATACAGTACTGGTGATGCAGAGTCCCATTAGCATGTTTCCTTAAACAATGTTTTCCCCACTGTGGTATTGCAGTTTTGTATTTATACTTTGTAATTCTGTTTATTCTGGCCATTGTAATAACATCTTAAAACATGACCAAAAGTTTTCTAATAAAGATCAGAAGAAATTGCAACAATGGTGATCTCCATTATTATGATTTATTTTGGTTGAATTATCACTTTAATCATTAATCAACATACAGTGCTATGAAAGGTCAAGCATGGTGGTGGTGGTGTGATGGTTTGGGGATGGTTTGCTGCCTCGGGACCTAGACGACTTGCCTTAATAGAAGGAACCATGAATGCTACTCTGTATCAGAGAATTCTACAGGAGAATGTCAGACCATCCGTCTGTGAGCTGAAGCTGAAGCGCAGCTGGGTCATGCAGCAAGACAATGATCCAAAACACACAATCAAGTCTACATGAAAATAGCTAAAAAGCAACAAATTGGAAGTTTTGGAATGGCCTAGTCAAAGTCCAGACCTAATCCCAATTGAGATGTTGTGGCAGGACTTGAAACGAGCAGTTCATGCTTGAAAACCCACACGTCACTGAGTTAAAGCAGTTCTGCATGGAAGAGTGGGCCAAAATTCCTCCACAGCGACGTGAGAGACTGATCAACAACTACAGGAAGCATTTGGTTGGAGTCATTGCAGCTAAAGGTGGCACAACCAGTTATTGAGTGTAAGGGGGCAATTACTTTTTCACACAGGGGAATTGGGTGTTGCATAACTTTGTTTATGAAGTAAATGAAATAAATATGTAATTGTTGTGTTATTTGTTCACTTATGTTCCCTTTATACATTTTGTGATCAAACAAAAAAAAGATAATATACATATTTCAGTGTATCAACTATAAGGTCAATAGTTGTCACAACTATACAGCACACATATATTATTCAGTGTGTAATTGTTACACTCTTACTACAGTATTATAATTTAGGCAAATTAAGTATATTGGGCAAATGGCATCTATTACACATTTTCATACAACCTCTGAACATCACACTATCTAATTAATCAGTTTATTTTAAATTGTTCAATGGGAAGGTCTTATCTAAACGTTCACAGTTTGTAGATTTGCATTCTTCCATGACAGCTATTATAAGCATTATTTTTGCATGAGCACTAGTAGGTCCAGTGAATCCCTGTATGGAGAATGCCATTCTAAAATTCTGAACTACAATCCCCAATGCTAAAAGCAATGGTATCTTCCTAAGTCAGCAATACAGTTTTTTACAGTCACATTATGCTTCGCAATTATTCAAATAACCAAACCAACCCAGCTACTTACTTACTTAATTAAGCCTTTGTATTACTTACGGAACATAGCCAACACACCAACCCAGAACTGTACTCAAAGGATGACTCCCCGGATGGATGAATATTTAATCTATAGTACAGAAATTACCCTCAGAAATGATTGTACATTTTTGCGTCAATTAGCTTGTACCAATACTAGCTAGAACCATATTCTGACGTATATATTTTAGTGCTAAATGATAGCAAATGGTGCTAAATCTAGCAATATTCCTTACAGGTTTGGAAACATGATGGCCTAAACTTTAATGAATGTTTCATTGTTTGGATAATTGCCCATAACTGATACCCACACACCACACTAACCACAATTAGGCCTACTTCGTGAAATAAGTGGAGATGGATTAAATGCCACACACAAATGGTTCTTGAAACAGCATTTTGCCCATAGAGATTAACCTAAACATGAGACATTCATTATAAACCAGGTAGTTTGGGTCCTGGATGCTGATTGGCTGAAACAGCATTTTAGCCGTGTGTGTGTGTATATCAGACAATATACCACGGCTATGACGCAAAAATACTTGTTTACAATTTATGTTGGTAACAAGTTTATAATAGCAATAAGGCACCTCAAGGGTTTGTGGTGTATATAGCCAATATACTGTACCACAGCCAAGAGCTGTATCCAGGCACTCTGCTTCACGTTGTGCCTAAGAACAACCCTTAGCAGTGAAATATTGGTCAATATACCACACCCCCTCGGCCCTTATTGTTTAATTAGACATTAATTAAACTATAATTTTGCCTCCCATATTTAACGGATATTAGCCAGTAACAATGATTACAATTTTGCGATCTCATTGAATAGGGTTTAGGTCATCTAGCAGCAATGTACCATCCTCATGCTCTGCATCCTCTTGCCAGCTTCTTCCCCTCTGGCGTTCCTCGAAAGAATTCAAGGTAAGATGAAAACACATATTTATTCATGACCTTGACCCTCCCGAAGATATCGAGCTCTGTCTCTTGGTCGTGGTCGACGCCACTCATCATCTGCTTGGACTTGGCAAAGAGGGCATTCTCCTTGGAAACAACCTGATCCAGCCAGTCGAGTCTGTCTCGTTTGGCCATTATCTCCTCAGCTTTTCCCACCGTGCAGCCATAGAACCCGCGTCTACTGCTTTCGAGCCAAAGGTCGTCCCCTACCATAGGGTGGTCATCCCCAACAAAGGCTGTGCAGAGCGGGCTGTCAGAACCTTGGGATCGGCCCACCTCGCAAGCGATAACACTCATGAGGAAGAGCGAGAAGGTGCGGAAGTTTCGGATGGATGCGGAGAACACAGCAGCCATGAAGTAGTGGCCCCAGCGTTCGCAGTCCTGGACACATCGTTGCAGCTGGAACGTCTGGCGGCAGAAGTTGTTGAATTCGGACGCCTTGAGGCCCAATCTAAGCTCTCGGAGGGAATAGTGCTCCTTCTGGTGCCGGAAAGTTTCAGTGAATTTCTCAATTTCTTCCAGATGGTTAGAATGAATGTACTTCCCCACCAGGGAGGCGTGGAAGGTTCTCCTCTGCACCTTAAAGATGCAGTCGTTCAGAACGTAATACAAGTCAAAGTCTGAGTCTTCCCTGGCGTTGTACCTGATCTCCACCAGCAGATCGAGAATGGTGGTGAGGTGCTTGATGGGAATGTCTCCCATGGGTTTGTGGTCAGTCAGCCACACGGACATGAGGTTCCCCTGGTTGTGCTCTGAGACGTAATCTAGAGCGCGCCTTCTTTCATTTTCCTCAAAAAACAGGCTCCATGTAAGCCCCTCTAAACAGTCAATGGAGGTGTACTTCTTGCGCAAATTTTCTGAGACAAACATTTGAGGCTGGGTCGGCCATTCTAAAGTCTGTATGTATAGGGCGTGCCCCTGGTAGTTGGGAATGATCTGTCCTCTGTCGTCCCCCTCCACTCTGGTCAGCAGGTTACCGTTCTGGTCCAGCTGGGCGATGACTTTCTTACTGCCATCTTTGTGACTCCAGACTCCCTCTTCCATGGTTAACTTCTCTCCGTTGGGGCTGACGGATAGTGCTGAGCTCCTCAGGTGCAGTTTGGTCTCCACGTTGAGTGATATGAGCGCTCGTAGCAGCCGCTCTACAAACTGGAGGTCCTTTCCTAGCGCACAGCCCACCAGACTGAGAGTGTGCAGATGCCCATCTTTTATCTTCATGGCCACCACGATATTGGCAAGCTCCTCTGGTCCATAACCTCCTAGTCTGGCCACCCCATCACTGCCCTTGCTGCCATGACCCACCAGTACCACACGACTGTCTCTTGTCAAACGGGTCTGAGAGCCCCTGAGGACTTGCAGCGCCCCCTTGTGGTAACTCAGTACAGTCGACACAGAGGGGTGCTTCTCAAAGAGGAAGGAGGCTGACTCCATCACTACAGGGTCATCCTCCAGGATCACTATGTTCTGGTGGTCAGAATAAATCAAAATGTCCCTCACATTTACATTATGAACATAGGACACATTAACCTCAGATACAGTATCGTGTTGATCAATTCTATCAGAGTCAATCTGGACTAATGATTTTGGTGTGACTGTCTTAAAAAGACTAGAGAACAAGTGTATAGACATTGCGACAACCTCTAATAACCCTGTTATTAATTTCACCACCAAATTAGTAGCTTCTGATAGAACGACGGACCAAATAATTTTCAAACCACTTTCACAATACCTCCTTACTATAATATGGCTACCACTGACATTTCCAAACAGCCTACAATGTGACACAGATGTGATAAGGGCTTTCATAGGCCACAACTTGACACTATTGGGCACTGCACAGTCTTTCCCAGGCTTGACATGCTCATGTAAATCAGCACTGGATCCAGCACCATTTGAGTATGTTAGTGAGGAGACAAGGTCCCGTGGAGTCTTTTCATTTGGTGGCAGTATGGACCTGACAAAACCAAAATTTGGTTAGAAAAAAAACATCTTCATAGTTCTCATTTTCAACAAGGTGATTTAGGCATGTTATTTGGATTATGCTACAAAGGTCCTACCAATCCCATTGTTTGGCACCCTATGATGCTTATCAAACCTGGATCATTCAAATACTACATTGGAAAAAAAAATGATGCATGTTACACAATTCAAATAACTGCATTCAAAACACATTTTGAAATAAATGCTGGTGAAGAGAAGTTTTGAAAATGTTGATGATCCCTTACCTATCAGTTGTATCGGACTCAAATGCCACATTCTGGGTTTCCCAGTCCACTCCTGTGCAAACAGACATTACAAGCATTTTAAAAAACTCACATGATACCTGAGTATGACACATGTAGGCACTGTCTAGTGTGCTGTCACTTTGCTGGAGCTAGGTCAGACGTAAAGAACACTGGTACTGTATACTTTTATTTTGTCAATAAAGTCCCATTAGCAGCTGCAAATTAATGCAATGAACTTCAGGTCAAATTCACGTTAGCTGAATGAAATTTTGCGTGCAGAATCCCATTTTGACATAAGAGCATATAATATGTTCCCATTGTCATTTCCTTTTTAAAATCATGGCTTGTAGCATATGCAATCTAACTTGATATATTTTACTGGTAAAGCAAGGTTATCAGCAATACCCTCACCCTTTTGATGCTTGTATTTGGCTCAGTGTGTACTGTTATATCTGAAATATGTCTCTTCAACCATCCACTGTCTAGACAAAAATCCTAATATGTCGGAGATTGGGATTATTTACAACTGACATGGTCTGGTCATTTCTATTGTAAAAAAAATAATTCTGCAAAAAAGAATAATTCTAGACTAGATCAAAACAACATACACACCCAATGAATATCCCCACAAATAAATGCATGTTGTCTAAGAGGA